GGGAGACCGGCAGGGCCTGGCTGTGGCGCTTGCTTCCACTCGCAGCCCTGCGTCAGAGCGCGCGTGTCGTATGCAGAGAGGTTTCCTCGGCTTGTTAAAGCTCTATGTCATTGTGCAAAAGTTTAAGTATAGTCCTGGTTGTCTACAGTAGTGTTAGGAAAAATATTTTGCAATATTTGCATTACTTCGTGCTTGCTTTACTTAATGTTTAGGAGCAGGTTATGAGAAAAGCACCTGTGCTAGGCGTTGCACTTGCATAGTAAGCTTGCCAGTGTGCCCACATGCAGTGTTAACGGTATGAGGCCAATACAAAACATAGAGGTCAAATTCTTCTCTTGATTTCACCTGAGCAGCAAAGTGAGACAGTGAAAATCTTATCTGCTAAGTGGCACAGTCATTACCGTGTGATCGGGTGAAGAAACGACTAACCAGATAACTATACTTGTATTCTGAATGGCTCACCGAAGAATCCTGTATACAGTTTATTGTTTACCTAGCAACCGAAACGTGTTAGACATTTAACAGCCAAAATAGCTCTGGCTTCTGCTCCCAAAAGATTACAGCCCGGTCAGTACGGGAAAATCCCTGTGACTCTCTAGAGGGATAGTTGCCATCACATTTGTGAAAGTTTAAGGGTTTACAAATCAGCTGCAGAAACAAGGCTAAAGAAGGCAAGAGATAAGGAGGTGATGGAAATGAAGTTACAGATGTAGGGAATAAAGTAAGGGAAGGAAAAGAATCTGTGGAATTGGGCTATGGGGTTGCATAGCATGTTAAAATATAAGCATAGTAAAAAACCAAAATATAAGCATAATGAAATATACTATACCAGCTCAGAAACGTCTTCTTTCTTGTAACATGTTAAACTTCTCAGGCTACTTAACTACGAGAAAGATCAACATGAAAAATACTTTGAAGGGACTGACCACAGGGAATGGATATTTTTTTCCTATGAAATTAAGTGAGTGAATTTTCTGTTATTTTCAGGAGCTAATTATAATTCTCCAGTCCATGCTCTTGGGGTGGTTTTGGCCCTTGTGCCCTGATAACTGCTGTTTGAAGTGTTAATGTGGCAGTTAAAGATCACCAAGTGCTTGCAGCAAGTTCTCTCTGCCTGTCTCACAAAACAGCAACCAAAATAGCCTTGTCAGTTTAAATAGTCAGCGTGTGGTGGTGAAACGAAGTGAGTGCTTCGGTTAACTGAACTGAAATATGAACTTCTGGTTAGCATTTTAAATCATATTTAAATAAATTATGGTTAGCATTTGAAGTATGTGGTGTATCCAAGTAATAACTTGGATAAACTGGAATCTGCCAAACCATCTTCATTAATCTGTATTTATATACAGTTAATTATGTAAATACACTTCCAGAAATGGTTTGTCTTCAGATAACTTTTTAAAAATGTGAATGTTTCTGCTTAAAATTCTCACCTGAAAATATTCTGAGTGGGTTTATAAGTCTTTCGGACCAGTCTTTCTTGAATGCCTTTACTGTGTGTCAGGGTCCAACTTTAGAAGTTGACATATAAAGTCGGGGTATTTTTAATTCTTTTCTGTGTGAAAGAAGGGAAATCTGAGAAGCATCAGAATCAAAGATACAGTGCCACTTTTGTGCCGCATATAGCACTACTGACTGGAACCAAACTAAAAATGGGAGTTTCACTGACAGGACTTAAAGAAGCCATATTTTTTCCAGGCCTTTTGCTGATGAGAATTTTTTAATGATGTAAATGCAAGATAGACCCCTTGCTAGCCAAAAAATAATAGGAAGGGCATATGCAAAAGTGCTAAATAAAAAATTTGAGAGAACAGTGTTTTAGTAGGAAAAGTGACTGAAAATAAAATAATACCTAATAGAAATCATACAAAAAATTCAGGACTCTCGTTTTGTGCCAGCACCCAGGTACAACTAATGAATTAATGGTTATAGAATACCAGTGCACCTACAGGATACTACTCGGGATCTGGCACTGGGTTCTGTGAATGCCCTTTAACCGAAACTGAGATGGCCTCGGATCAGGTCCCCGGGGCTTCACTTGTTCCTAGAGGGGTGGGTACAAGTTGCACAGAGGAGCGCTGTGCCAAGGCAGTTAGCTCCATCCCCCGCAGGATTTGTGCCTGGAACCAAAGAGGGGGGGAGATCACAGGGGTCATGTAGCTGGTTTATCTCCTTTGATCTTAATAGGTCCAGCTATTTTGTGAAGTTGGAAGGAATTAACAGATAATTCAGGTTAATCACTTGAGACACATAACGTGCTTCTTCACATAGCATGTCATTCTATTTGCTGTTAATTATTTCTATATATTCGTGCATACATTACCATGGCACCTCCTGATTTCAGTGGGGTGCATATGAGACCACAGGCATGAATGCTGATTTTTTAGTTTCTTTGAAGATTTTTCAGACTGTCTCCTTTCTCATCTGCCCTTCATTTCCACTTCAATGTGACTGTGCTTCTAGCAGATACATTAACTGTAACTTACTTCTATTTAAAAGATATTTTCATGTCTTGCTTTTCTACTCTTATTTTCTATTGTTCTAGCTTCTACTGGTCTAGGGTTTGTTTTAATGAAATGAGTGCTTCAGACACATACTGTGGACTTGATATTTTTAGTAAGCCTAATATGCCATTCCTTACGTATTGAAATGGAAACTGGAAATTTTATAATTTTGATGGATTTTACGTAGAGCCAGACCTGGAATCTATCAATGTCGAAGGTAAAACTCCACTCCAGCCTGTGTGGCAGACTGTAAGTGCACTGAATCAGGGTTATCAGGGTAGCAGTGGTACCATCTCCGGTTCTTGAGTCATGGGTGACTCCTGAGCAACTCAGGTGCCTGCCCCCTGCAATGGCTGTGTCATGCAACCAGCAGCAGAGCTGCAGCCCAAGGGCTGCTGTCTAACCCAGATCATCTCTGCATGAGGAGATACCACTCAACAAAAGTAACAAGCAAATTCTGCTGAGGCCAGAAGCACGGGTAATTTTTGGTCTCAGGGACCCCAGTCAACTACATGCTAATTATCAGGGTATTCTGGGGTCCTGGCGGAGCCACTGTAATCTCCCATTTGTGAATCAATCCAAAAGCTTTACTTTTGCTTGGCTGCCCAGCATCTGCAGTGTCTGTCCTGTGGTTCTCATGGAAGAATTTGATCTGAGACTTAGAAGGAAAGGAACACTGATGTCCTATATTGTGTGGAATTGAGTACAAAGCTCTCTGAAAAGGGAATACTTTTTTTTTCAGTTTCATTTCATCTTCCTATGATTTTCATTTTCCTTATTTCATATGTTTTTCACTTAAGGTGCCTTTCTTTCTATTTTACTGGTGTAGCATATCCAGTTTCTTTTTTTCCTGTTATCTTATTCCTTACTTATTCTCTCTCTACTTTTTTACCCTTTCAGTTTTTCTCTAGCTGTTGAGAAGAATCAGTGTTCACTTCTAGTGCACTTTCTTGGCCCGAGTACTTTTCATCATATAGAAAAAGTAAAATGTGCATTCTGATCCTGTTTTTCCAGTTATTTACTTCTGGTAAAAAGCTTATGCCTGGAGTTTCTTTATGCTATATTATGTGCAGAGTGCATTTCCCGGTCTAAATGACAAGCACAGACTTTGCAGGGGGTGCAGTGGTAACTAAGCATGTATAAACTAACATCTAACCTCCTCCCCTTTGAATTTTCAGATGAAAAAGCAGAATTTTGAGGGTTGAATTAACTGGATGTGATTCTAACTCATCAGTGTTTGTTCAGGGTCAAATGCCTATTACAAATAACTTTTTTTTTTACATCAAATTAATATTATCACTGAATGCCAGTTTTTGCTTTTGCTGCTGTCTTACATTGGAATTGTTTCACATTTGATTAGGAATAATAGAAATATTTTGAACAGCCCAAAGACTGGATTGGCAGCAGTGAGGTTTGGGAGAAAGTATTGTTCTCTGTGTGGCTCTACACTGGAAATCGTGGGTTTCTCCTCTCCTTGCTTTTCAACTCATCTGCACTGCCTCAAGTCTAATTCATCAGCCATTATGTGGGTGAACTTATTTCTATACAAACTGCAGAGATATCCACAAAGGTCTGTTCTTGCCAAGTTACATGAAGCGTTGCTCCTGCAGAAGCACAAGTCTGGCTACCTCCCAAATACCTGGACTAAAAAAGAAATAGCAGCATTTATTATTATTTTAATTACAGAACTGACAGACTCAGGCCAGTGGGAGAAGAGACAGAGGCAGCAGTAGGAAATGTGTTGGGTTTTTTTAACCTAAGCAAGGCCAAGTGCAAGGTCCTGCACCTGGGTCGGGGTAACCCTCGGTATCAATACAGGCTGGGGGAAGAAAGGATCGAGAGCAGCCCTGCCGAGAGGGACTTGGGGGTACTGATGGATGAAAAGCTGGACATGAGCCGGCAATGTGCACTGGCAGCCCAGAAGGCCAACCGTACTCTGGGCTGCATCAGGAGAAGCGTGGCCAGCAGGTCGAGGGAGGGGATTCTGCCCCTCTACTCAGCTCTGGTGAGACCTCACCTGGAGTACTGTGTCCAGCTCTGGAGCCCTCAGCACAAGAAGGACATGGAACTGTTGGAACGGGTCCAGAGGAGGGCTACAAAAATGATCCGGGGGCTGGAGCACCTCTCCTATGAGGACAGGCTGAGAGAGTTGGGCTTGTTCAGTCTGGAGAAGAGAAGGCTACGGGGAGACCTGATTGCGGCCTTTCAGTACCTAAAGGGGGCCTATAGGAAAGATGGGGAACGTCTTTTTAGTAGGGCCAGCTGTGTTAGGACAAGGGGAAATGGTTTTAAACTAGAACAGGGTAGGTTCAGGCTAGAGGTAAGGAAGAAATTTTTTACAATGAGGGTGGTAAAACACTGGAACAGGTTGCCCAGAGAGGTAGTGGAGGCCCCATCCCTGGGAACATTCAAGGCCAGGTTGGATGGGGCTCTGAGCAACCTGATCTAGTTAGCAGTGTCCCTGCTCACTGCAGGGGGGTTGGACTAGATGACCACTAGTGGTCCCTTCCAACCCTAAACATTCTATGATTCTATGATTCTATGAGATAGAGGTACAGGGAAATGAAAAGAACCCCCCATTTTTTCCTTATCCTACAAAAAGTGCAAATGCGGTGTCAAGTTGTCCTCACCATCACCCTTAAAATCACAGATTAGTGTGTGCTGAACAGATATAAGCTAACTGGTTCAGTTTTTGGGTTGTATGCAAACACGTTAGACCTGTTCATGTGTAGCGTATGGTAAGTTGCATTATCTTGCAGTTAATACATAGGGTTTTAAAAGCAGGCTACAGTTTGAACTGTAAGAGTAACTGTAGCAATGGTGGAGCTTTCAGCCTTAGCACTAAATCCTTTGTCAGAAAGCTTAATAAATGTTGCATCCATGCTGAACCTGCATTTGGACATTCCCAAGGGAGGGCAGCACACCCCTTTGGCCAAGAAGCCATGCTTTTTCTCATAATTACTCTTGTATTTAATGACAGGTAATATTTTTTGACTGAGTAGTGGTAGCCATGAATTGGGGCTGCAACAATAACATGTGAGAAAGATGAGCTTTGGAGTTGATAGAAATCAACATTGTTTAGAAAGCTCGCATAGAGTGCCGAGGAGGAAATGCACGCAAAACCCTAACTAAATCCACTATTATGTCTACAAAATTAATCAGAAATTGGTTCCTCGCAAGCTACTGTGCTTCCTCTCAGCTCCAGACCAGAAATTCTAAAGATCACTGATAGGCACTGCAAAAGAATGCAGTACTGTGGGCATTTTTCAGGTAGAAAATGATAAAATAGGTAAATTTTCAGTCCACTGCTTGTAACATAAAGCAAAGGCCTCTGTCTTTCTGAAACTCTTGTGAAAGTGTGCAAGAGTGCAAAAAATAACATGGGATAAGAATAACTGGAAATGTGGTTCATCTTCCTGCTGCTCTGAATTTCTCACTGCTTTGAGTAAGCTCAAAGACTTCTACTACTAGATAACCTCATGAACAGCTGAACCAGGTGAATCATTGCTCTGAAAAAACGTTGCACAAGTGGCATATCTAATTTCATTTTTGCCCGTTCAGTTCCCCCACTTCTTTTTCCAAGAGTGCACTATACCATTAGTAAATTATCCTGTTAGAATATACTTGGGAAAAGCATAGTCTCAGTCTAACTTCAGATTTGCACTGATTTTTAGTTTTTCAGATTTGGCTTTACTTCTTCCCAACACGGTAACAGCTCATGCTATACCCTGCTACAAGAGTCAGAGTTTGGATACCCCTCAGTTTCCTCAGTCACCGTGGAACAGACTCATTAGCATGTACTGTATGTGATCAGCTGTTTGCTCCTATTGCATTTCAAGTTTGGAGTAAAATCAGAACATGACCTAAGATACTTCCATAATTATTTTCTTTTATCACCCCTAATTCCTCTTTTTCAGTATTAAAGCTGTCCTGGCCAATGTGCATGACATACATCATCTGTCCATGAGTGGAATGCTAAATATCCTGTTACAATTCCTGTGGGATGTGTACTCCTTAGTGTGGATTTCAGAGGCTCTTTACAAGAAATATCTAGAAGTCTGATGCCATGAAAAGGTTTCTGAATTTACAGATTGCAACAGACACTTGGTTTAAGGAGTGGGCAAAGTAAATGGCTGGCTGCCTGTCTTACTAAGAAGTACATAGTGGTAAGGAAGCAAATTGCAAATGTAAGATTTATTGTTTACCAGCAGTAGCTCTTGGCAAGATGAATGAATCTATTTACAATAACAAATTAAAGGAGCTGTACTGGGTCAGACTCAACTTACAGCCAGCAGCTGTCAGTAGCAGATATCTAAAGAAGAATGGACTGTAAGAACATGATAAACAGGGTTTAAACTCCCCCCCCATACAACCACCAGGCTAAAAGTATTCCTTTTGTTCAGAGGCCCTTGATGTGTTTTTTCTGCATATTTTTCTAATTGCTTTTTAGCCCATGTAGATTTTCAATATCCTGCAACACCTCCGTTTACTGTATTGTGAAGCAGAGAATAAGATTTCTCTCATGTCTTCTTCATACACGTAATGATTTTATAGCTTTCTTCAATAATTACCTCTCGTGGCTGAGGAACCTAGAGCAT